CTCGGCGCTGCCCTGACTGGCGTTTCCCGCGCATGAGGTGCTGGGCCCGGGTGCAGTGGGCACGACACTCGGGTGGCACTCCCCCCTCTGGGCATGACGGGCACCCTCTGGGCAGCACCTTTTCTGCACCGTGCCCGGGGGCTTGGAGTGACCGCAGTTTCTGTCCCCTCCCTGGCTCCCGGCCGCGCGGGAGGCAGGTGACCTGGGTGTGAACTTTGCCTACGGATGTTTATCTGCAGTCATGTGGATTTATCCTGGTAATCTACAGACCCGTTTGCAGATAGCGTTGAGAGCAAACATCTATTACTGGTTTCTTGTAGATCACACATGGCTGTGTGGTAATGGATTTTCCTTCCAGACCTCGGGCTCACGACATGTGTAGTTACACCGATTTTTATTATGATCTTGAATATTGACTTTTAATTATACACTGGTTAACAAAACAAATACGGCTGTCATCTCCATCAAGGGAGTGTTGTGGATGGGGGATACCGCCTGATATCCCTCTTACCTTCTCTCCCCGGCACCACAGGCTTTAACATCCCCCAAGCTGGGCATAAACATGTAAAAATCTCACACCACTTTAAGAAGACCCTGGAGCAGKTTTTAATTGTGTTTACTGCAAAGGATACATTGCTTACAGTAAGGATAGTTGAAGGGCACCCTRGTAATCACGTTGCAGGGTAAGAAGGGCTGTTCAAAGGGGCATATGAGGCGTTATTTCCATCTCAAGAAGACAGACTGGGCAGAATACATTTAAATCAAAGCTGAAGAAGGTGCACACTCAAATGAACATCCAGACACAAGGACATGAGCGGAAACAAGTCATTAAAAGAGCCCGAGAGCTTAACTCCACTCTCTCTGACATGCTTCCGTTCCTAACATGGTCTGCAGAAGACTCGGCCTCTGTCAGCTGTGGCCCAAGAGTCCTGCAGGTCTGAAGTAAGCGTGCAGATACAGTGACCCTCTGATACCACTCCTGCYCTCAGACCCAGTGATCTCATCCTCGCAGATAACAAGAGGTGGCCAGAAACTTCTATCCAACCTGTATATTTTTAGATTCTGTTTCTAAGTAGGAAGAGGGTTAAAGGCTTTTGAATTTCTTTCCTGGCTATTCAGGCAAAAAAATAGGTCAAGAGCCCTGTAAGTCCAAGGAGAGGAGCAGTTTATTTCTGTACGGCAGTTAGTGCTCTTGTTAACCCTATCCTCCAAGAGTATGCTGAGATGCATCTTGTGAGGAGGTGTTGGTGGCAAACACAAAGGGTATTGTGGCCCTAAGGAATATTGGTTATTTAATACATCTTGGAAGGAGGCATGAATGAGATATCATCTAAGCCATCTTTGAGGTGACAGGGTTGATATCAAATCAGGTTAACATGTTTAAATTAGAACTACCTGTATAGAAAATTTAAGCTGGACGAGGCTGGGGTTGTGGCTTAGTGGTAGAGCTCTCGCCTAGCACGTGTGAGGCCCTGGGTTCAATCCTCAGCACCACATTTTAAATAAATAAATAAAATACAGCTATTGTGTCAACTACAACTAACTAACTAACTAACTAACTATATATATATATAATATATATATATATATATATATATATATATATATATGTGTGTGTGTGTGTGTGTGTGTGTGTGTGTGTGTGTGTAAAAAAAAAAAATTGAGCTGGAAAAGACCTTGGAAATCAATCCAGTCCATTATTTAGTCTTTACTTGAAGCAACCGAATTATTTTGCATCTGGATAATAGTACAAGAACTGGGAATTGGATACAGTAGTGTTTCCATTCTGTTGTACAATTCTGGGCTGCCAGTTCTCTCTGCAACTTGTCTTATGAAAAAACCTAGAATTGTTTTTTTTTTTGTTTTCTTTTCTATCCCTGTACCCAAAAATAAGGTAGATGTTTGGCTCAATCTGTGAAAAATTGAAGCTGTTCTCACATTTTGTTGTCAAATCCCAGCAGCTCAGGAGGCTGAGGCAGGAGGATTGTGAGTTTAAAGCCACCCTCAGTAAAAATGAGGTGTTAAGCAACTGAGACCCTGTCTCTAAATATAATACAAAATAGGGTTGGGGATGTGGCTCAGTGGTCAAGTGCCCGTGAGTTTAATGCCTGGTATCTGCCCCCCAAAAATAAAAAATAAAATAAAAATTTCAATCTGGTGCTAACTTTGCAAACCAGGGAGCAGTGAAAAGGCAGTGTTAATTACTTTTTTTTTCTACATACATGACAATAGTGGAATTAAAAAAAATCATTACTGCAGAAAACAATAGTGYTGTCACCCTGTGACACAGCATTGTCTTTGCAGACCCAGCCAAAGGCAAAAGCTGATGTCAGAAGACCCCAGCTCCATGGAGAGCCACGGGGCTCCTTTCCATTTTACCACTTGACCTCCCTGTCTTGAAACGGAATTAAATACTGACCATATTGACAGTTGGGGAGTCCATGGAAAGCGGTCACTTTGAGTGGGAAAAAATACATATTTTACAAGCAAATAGGAAAATTGGAGCATTTTTTTTTTCCTAACAAAGAGCTTTATGGTATCTCGGAACTTTTGGAGAAAGAGGTACATTCCTTATAGAATTTTAGTCACTCTGGCCAATTATCAGGAATTTTCTCCCTCCTAATGGAAAGAAAGCACAGGCAGACTATGATCTCAGAAGCTATGTGTATTTTAGAATCTCAAGGAACCATGTGTGGTTGAACAAAATATAAAATGTGCAGTAAACTTCAGGTATAAAGAACTTTGTTGGCTATAAAATTTTATTTTACCACTGTCCTCCTATGTCTAAACACATTGGAGATCAGTAAAGTCTTAAAATATTCAAGATGACAGATCCTGAAACCTAATTCCAGAAACACCGCAGTGAGAATAGATAACGGGACAGACACAAAATGCCCGCCCTGTTCCCTGCATGAAGCCCTTCAGTCTAATTGGAAAGAATCCAGAGGGCCCTTCCTCCCGCTCCCCACGCTCCCCACGCTCCCCACGCTCCCCACGCAGGGACATGGGTTGACGCTGGGAGTGACAACTTTGCGCCAGGGTCCCCTTGTTAGTGTGAGTCTCCTGCGGGTGTGTGCACCTTACTTGAACTTGCAGTGAGACTGTGGGAGAATTTTCTCAGGGCCCAAATTATTGTTTTCCTGGGTCGGGGGAAGCTCAGAAAAATAAAAATGCTGTTTTAAATTTTCCTGAATGCACAGAGTGGCAAGGAATTTTGAAATGGGAATCCTCAAGCAAGAAAGCAAGGGTATTTTCTACTGAACTACTTGCAGAACAGACTTAGAAAACTCTTTGGGTATTCTGCCAGACCTGGATGCGTGATTACCATGTTACCAACGGAAACAACGAGATTTGTTATTTGGAGTGTCACTGCACATTGACTTGGCTCTTTGAGTTCTGACTGTCTGGCCTGTGCCCTTGGTTGGTTACAGCTTCTGTTGCCRCAGCACGTATGTGTGTGGGTGGGAGAGGTCTTGCTATGGCACTTTACCTATACCATAAYGCCGGGTGGGCTCTCAATCGGCATATCTAAAAGGACAGCAATCTGAGGCATTCACTTTTGTCCCCTGTTTATAAGAGTAACACTTATTCATTAGAAAAAAGATATAAAGAATAATTAAAAAAAAAACAAAAAAATTCACCCATAATCTTATCATCCAGTAATAATGGGTATGAAAATTTTAGTGTGATTCCTGTTATCTAATTTATAGATGTACCCTTGCACACGCACAGTACATCTAGAAATACAAACATACCGTGAACATACGTACATACACATACTCTAGACTCTCAAAATTGACTTCGAACAAAACCTTCAATATCATATTCTTTCAGCTTAATGGCTGGAAAATATACAGTTAGTTGGGAGATAGTTGACAGAGTACACCGTGCCCATTCACTGAAGGAAAAAAACCCAATCCTGAGACTCCAAGATCCACAGAAACGGGTTGAGGGAAGCTTCTGCTCCCTCTCTGGGCAGCGGTGACTTGTACTGAGCCTTTACTCGTGTGTCCTGTGTCAGTCTTCCTAACAACGTTTCAGGTAGATGTTATGAGGATCTTTATAAGTGAACTCAAGAGGGCGAGTGATTAGCCCAGTTTCACACAGTGGGTTTTGAACCCACACCTGCCAAGTTCAGACCCCAACCCTAGACTTGGGGGGAGCTTGTGGCCTCCCACGTGTGTGTGGTGTTCATCTGGACACACCTGTGACCTCTTCACTGTGTGATCGCGTGGTCCTGCTTACCCTGTCTCTGGAACATGGCTCATTCAATCCTCATCAATGCTTTAAAGCACTTAGAGGTGGCCTTCCCTCCTGGGGACACTTGGGAATACCTGGAAGCATTTTCATCGGTCACAAATTAAAGGAGAGAACCACTAGATTGATTGGGTGGAGGGCAGAAATGTGGCCGAGTATCCTCTTGTGCACAGGGCAACTCCAGCCCAAGATGTCGATAGCGCCGAGTGCAAACCTTGCCTTTGCTCCTGTCCAGACTCGGGGTCAGCATTTTCCTCTTGTGTTTCATCCTCGTTCACGTCGCTCCTGCAAGGATCTCTAAACATAGATGAAATCATGCCACCCTTTTGCTCTGTGTAGCTCTGTGCTCTCGAGGGTTGCCTGGGTCCGAATCCTGGTGCAAACTATCCCAGACCCTGACGTGGGGCAAGCGATTTCCCCTCACATACCTTAACTTTACTGCCTATGAGATAAGGGAATGGTCATGGCATCTGCCTTAGTAAAGCTTGTGTGAGGGTTTTCATGCTTCATGCCAGCACAGTTAGGTCCTTCTACATTTTACCAATCACTAAAAAATATTTGTAACCTTTCTACTCCTTGCAGAAGGGCCAAACTTGTTAGCACAACATTCTAGAACTTTCACCCTCTGTCAGCCAGCTTGCTTCTGACTGCCGTGACTGTCCTTTGTCCATTCCTGCAGGACTCCTGGCCACCCCCTGGGTTCACAGAGACTTGGGAATATCATGTCTGCTAACGCTCCTCTGCCAGCCTGGGAAGACCATCTCCCGCACACAGAAGCACCCGCTAATTTTCAGAACTCAGGTAATCTCCTGTTTAGTCTTACCTAATAGCTGGTCAGGTTCACTTGTTTCTTCCTGTACATTATCACAGTATTTTGTTGATTCCATCGCTCTGCACATCCATCCATTCATCCTTTTTCCTGCCTTCCCTCTGTCTCCCTCCCTCCCTCCCTCCCTCCCTCCTTCCTTCCTTCCTTCTATTCACTTTATAATTCAGAGTATAAGCCATAAAACCAGATTTTCTAGTTTAAAATCAGGTTCCCAAATAAATTCTTGTAATCCTCAAGTTCCTTGGCTTTGCAAAGCATTAATCCTTGCTTCTGAAATAAGTAGAATAGCACTATGGAATTAATAAAGTGATGGTGAGGGTAGAATTATGGATGGACTCTGGGAATGACAGCTTTGTGCCAGGGTCTCCTTGTTAGTGTGAGTCTCCTGCGGGTGTGTGCACCTTACTTAAACTTGCAGTGAGGCTGTGGGAGAATTTTCTTGGGGCTCAAATTATTGTTTTCATGGGTCTGTGGAAGCTCAGAAAAATAAATGTTATTTTAAATTTTTCTGAATGCACAGAGTGGCAAGGAATTTTGAAATGGAAACCCTCAAGCAAGAAAGCAAGGGTATCGGGCTGGGGATATGGCTCAAGTGGTATCGTGCTCGCCTGGCATGCGTGCGGCCCCGGGTTTGATCCTCAGCGCCACATACCAACAAAGATGTTGCGTTCGCCGAAAACTGAAAAATAAATATTAAAAAAATTCTCTCTCTCTTTAAAAWAAAAAAAAGAAAGAAAGCAAGGGTATCTTCTACTAAACTCCTTGCAAAATAGAATTAGAAAATTCTTTGGGTATTCTGCCAGACTTAGATACATGAGTAGGATGGTACTAATAGAACCAACCAATCCTCCACATTGCCCGCTACACCGAAACCCCCCAAGTCTCAGCTCTCACACAACCTGTGTTTGTTCAGTACTTCTGTGTGATGGGCACTCCTTTATTTTATRCTTGCATTCTAATGGGCTCTGGGTGGACCTAATGCTCTCACGAGGTAGGTGACAGGCCTTGTTGAGGAAAAGAGCTTTTTAAAAAATTTCTCCACCCCAGTGTTCAAAATGGAGATAAATGTAAGCACCAGCCTGTCATTTCTGCCAACATCTGGCCTGGGCTGATCAATATTTCTCTCCTAAGAAGTTGTGCACCTGCTGGCGTGAGAAGCATGGCCAGCCAGCCAGAGAGCGGCCGCACTCCTGGCCCACCTTTACATGGCCCCCGCAGGCATCACAGGGTCAGGCCATCTCTTCATGATGATAATAATGGCCTTCAGCCTCCTCTGCTGGCCTGCGGCTGGGAGTTGATGTCAGTGACATATTCCTMTAAGAAGAGCTCTGCAACTGCTTAATTTTCCATGTGGATTTTGAATGCCTTGTATTTTGTTAAAATCAAGATTGTATTCTTCTCACTAAGCAAGTGGTCCAACCTGATTAATATAATACATTCTCCTCTGTTGCCAAACATTGCCAGAGGCAAGGTMTTACTTAGGAAGCCACCCCTCCCCCAAGCGCACACACACACAAATGAAAAATAAATAGATCTGTACGATCATTACGGAGCTAAAATAGCATTTAGAAATGCATTTTTATTGTGAAAAATGGCCAAATAAGAGTTGCTGACTGTTTGTAGCCCTGTAGTGTAAGTCAGATAAATTGGTGCCCGGGAGTCTGACATTTCAAAAGCTGGAGAATATGCTGCATTTTTTTTCTGATGTGCCAGTTTTGTAATTCTCCCAGCTATTTTCCTTTAGCAAGAAGCAATTCTTCTGTGCCCAAGCAGTTCAATTAGGGCATTGTAAATGTTGTCAGAACGACTTCAGCCTAGTGCCCCTGAGCCATAGGTATAATTTTGGAGGGAAACAAGTTCCTTTCTTACCACCCTGGTGTGGACAATGGTATTAACTAACTTGGAAAAAGAATATGCCGTCTGTACCTCCACCTCGCTTAACCTGCTGAGGGAATTAAAAATCATGCCCTCTCACCTGGGGGGTTTTCTGGTCTGCCGGGCCTGTGGGCACCTCTCAGTGCACATGTGTTAGTGCACTGGCCTTCAGCTCCTCTCAGTGCACGTGTGTTAGGTGACTGCATCTCTACACTGGCTCAGCACATGCCCACGATTCTTCCCCCCTTGGGTATCGACTGGCCTTGGTGACGTAGAGTGGATAGATCAGAAATGGCACTGCGTGACATCTGGAGCTCTGTCTGGAGCTCTGTCGGAGGTCAGCAGAGAAATGGTCAGAGAGCTTGTAAAATTTCTGTAGCTCTGCAGGCCACACCCTGAYGGTCCCTGTCAGCTATGCAACTGTACATTTGCAGCACCTGGCAGCCAGGGGTGATATGGGACCTGGTGGGGCTGTGTTGCAGTGACACCTGTTTGTCAGACAGTGGGAGGCAGACCTGAGCACAAGGCCACGGTGGTTTGCCAGTCGCTGGGCTGTGCKGTAATAGATGATGTGGCTTCTGCGGGTGCCTGCTTTGTCTTGGGGCCTCCATGTCCAGCCACACTTGAGGCCACCTGATGTCACGGCGAAAGACGTCATGGAGACAGAGGAGATGCCCAGGGAGCCCCAGTTGGCCAAGTCTGCTTGCACAGATAGGTGAGGGGGGAGCCTTCGAGGTGAATGTGGCTGGGTTTCTCTCTGACGGCAGCTGCATCAGGAGGCTTCCAGGGAGAATAGCTTAGCTGGGCACAGTCACCCTCCAGCACCTGGGACTGAGGGGGATGGGGAAAATGATGATGGTGACAGTGAGGATAAAATGGTTCTGGGAGGTCACCTGGCCTTSTCCTGACTTATCAGCGTACCTTAGCCTCTTGCTAGCACGCTACCTGGGCCTGTTGGTGGACCTGTGATGTGGGTACCTCCCATGAGACTCTACTCCGGATTGCAACAGTAGGGGCAGGGAGGAGCTCTGCTTTCCGGTTTCTTGCTGGACAGCACAGGAGCCTGGGGCTGCTGGAGACTGTGTTTCAGAGAGTACCCAGTGAGGAGGAGAGGGCGGCACAGCAGAGAGATCACTGATGACCTCACTTGGATACTGGTACGGCCCAGCTCCTGAGTGGAGGTTTAGACATTTGTAAATTCATAGATCATAGAGCTCATGTTGATAGATTTTCACAAACTGAACACAACCAGGCAGCCAGGCAGTCAGTATGTCTACAAACCAAAGTTCACATCTCCCCGACTTCTGCTCTTGCCCCCTTTCAGCTGTTCCCCAGAGGTTAACACTGTCTTGAGTTTTGACAGCATTGCTGTGGTTTGGATCCCGAGTGTCCCCTGAAAGTCATGTTTTAAAGGCTTGGTCCCTAACCRSGGCATATTGGGAGGTATGSTAGAAGCTTTAGGAGGTGGGGCCTAGGGGAAGGGAGTTAGGTCTCTCGGGATGTACCCTTCAAGGTGCTGTTGGGACCCCCCCACTCTGTTCTCTTTGCTTCCTGGCCCCTGTGAGGTGAGCAGCCTCCTCCTGTGAGTTCCCACCATAATGTACAACAGGGCCAAGGCACCATGGACTGGCATCTCTGAAACCATGAGCCAAAATAAACCTTTCTTCCTTTTAGGTGCATTATCTCAGCCCTTTTGTCAGTGACGTAAACTGACCAGCACYGGCATACATCAGTTTGGGTTCTTACTGTGCATCATTCCAACTGCTCCTACCACGTGTTTCCCTTTGGGTCCAATTTGTTCATCTATCATTCGACTTAAGAGATTTCTCCAYGTTGCATGCAGACTTAGATTCTGATGGACAGTGGTTTTTTTTTTTTTTCTTTGCCTGTTGTGATTAGTGATGTCATGCGTGTTCYTGAGCCTGCTTTTTGGTGAGTGGATGTGTCTGTTCCTACTGGGCATTCCCGAGTGAAGTTCCCGGGTCACAGGGAATGTGTTGGTGGGGATTTACTAAACACTGCCAAATGGTTTTCATAAGAGGATGCTCTTGCAATGATATATGAGTTCCAGTCACTTCCTTGACCCACCAACCCTTCGTAGTTTCCATTTTAATCATTCTGGTAGGGCTGGAATTTTATCACATTGTGGTTTTAGCTTGCATTTCCCAGATAACTCAGGAAGCCAAGCTCCTTTTATTTATTTTGATGGACCTGTTCAGTATTCTCCTTTGTGAAGTGTCCAAGTCTTTTTGCCCATTTTCCTATTGGGCTGACTTTTTTTTTCTCGTTGAAATCAAAGGTTTCTTAAGTACCACAGATGTTTATCATCTGGGGGTGAAATATAGGCATGCCGATATATTTGCCAATGTGGGTGTGAATTTAGGACTCTGTTGCTTGAAGTTGTGGTTTGAAAGCACGTGGCTGGGCTGAAACCCTTGGCACCAGGGTGGTTATCTATGTGCTGCACTGAGGTGAAGACCCAGCAGTCTGGCTGGATTGGACATGGTTGGAGTTCACCCTGCTCTCCAGAGCAGGCCACACCACTGTTTGGCCTTGGATTCGGCTCCTGTTCTTTCCCCTGCTGAAGCAGGGACATTAACAGGAGGGGACACTTAATCTGAAATGGGCTGAATTAGCTGCATCTCCTCTTTTCTCCACTTGCCTGGTGGAGTAGCTTGCACTACACAGTGCCAGGTTACTCATTGGTCTCGTGTGCTACAGCATCTCTACCATCCTGGGTTGGTTCTCGATGATCTTCAAACGTCTGCACAAAGGAAGCATGCATCCCTGATTCACCTGTGGAAAGCCGGAGAACTCAGGTTCTTYAGGGAATCGCTCCGTCTCCCCAGAAGTTCTCACCTTCTTCCTTTCCTAATGCCATCGTCATCGAGCTGTCATCAGACTCGACACTTAGAATCAATGGGGAGAACGTCTTTTTCTTTCTCCTCTGAAATCTACCCCCCTTCTAGGTAAAGCAGTACATGTGGACCTTCGGAGCCCTTCTGACTACGCAGCCTGGATGGGCGTTCAYCCTCCCACTAGTCGGGGAGTCCATGATCAGTTTAAAGAATGGGTAGCCAGGAGACCGGTAAGAAGT